AGAGAGAGAGAGAGAGAGAGAGAGAGAGAGAGAGAGAGAGAGAGAGAGAGAGAGAGAGATCACGCTTCCCTGACGACCCGCGCTGCCACAATTTGACATCTTCTGTACAGAGTTGTCAAGCGCTCATGGATGTCAAGTCCTTTCCTGCAATATTCACATTTTTTTTCCGCTCCATGATGGTCCGCGTTCAGTAACACCGGTTCCATTATCTCTTTGATATATGAAATTATATGGGAAAAACAGTCCGCGACCAGCCTGGCCATTTGTCGAGAGTTTGCGTCAACAACGAAATTTTCAAAAATTTGCGTTGTCATAGGCCGTACAGAAGATTCTGGTCTGGCCGAAGGTGCTTTGCTGGCAAGCGCGCAGGGGAAATTGTGACGCACGTGGTGAGATTTCAGTGCGGCAACATCACTGCACGCCAACAGGACGTGTGGTGCAGGCGCATCCTTCCCAAGAGTGGCCCCATTTCCCGAGCACACTCCGATTGGTCTGTCAGCTTCTTCTCTTCCCTTCCTCGTTTCACCTTCTCCACATCCCATAACATCTCCTTCCATACATGTCACCGTCAGTTCTCCAGCCAACAACCTGCTTCGAGTGTGTTGCAGGGCATCCATTACGTCTTCGCAACTGCTCAGCAGAGACGCGATTTTTGCAGGAAGCTCGTCATTAACAGACCCGACACCCACTTCACTCAGACCGTACTCCTCGACGGTTTCCGTACAGTGGCGAATGCAGTCCTCGGCGAAGGCTAAGAGGTCAACGACGCTGCGTGCCGTCGTAGGTAGCGAACCTGTGTTGTAATCTTGGCTATTGTACGATGCCCACYCCTCCTTCAGCACACACTTTCCGCAGCTGGCAAGACACATGACATCCCCTCCGTCTGACTCCCCGTTTGTTGTCTTCGTGATGTGGGCGGAGAACCGCTTCAAGACTGCGGTGCGCCTTTCCCTTTCAATATCCAGCCATGCCTGAAACTCGTCGAACGTGGTRTTCTTCGTTTCAGCAATTGCCTGAAGTCTGGCTGACATRTCCTCCYTCAGACGAGTAACGTCTATATCTTTCATGTTGTCAAGCAACAACCAGAACACGGTGAACATCCTGTGCTCCGCAGTTTCTGTCATTTCGTCGAGGAGCGACTTGAGGCGGCGTAGTTCGTCTGACATCTCTCTAAGCAGTACTTTCTGCTTATGCACCTCCTCTGTTAGCCTGCCTATATGTTCTCGGTCGCTAACTACAGTCCGACCCCTATTTCGATCCGTTTCAGGTGTCTTATGATCCTTGCCGCGTGGGAGAAGGAACTTGTCCATCCGTGCATGACACTCTCCGCCCAGCTTTCTTTTCTATCCGGTCGTGGTGAACCTTGACATCTAGAAAGCATTGTATATACAGAGAAATACGTGGACACAGCAAGATAGAGATAGAGATAGATAGATAGATAGAGAGAGAGAGAGAGAGAGAGAGAGAGAGAGAGAGAGAGAGAGAGGGAGTCTCACTGCTTCCGTACAATGGCGTCAACGGGGACCTACCAAACACTCTCTATGTGTAAATGTAATGTGGCAACACTAGTATTTACTACTCAACATTTGCGTCTCCCCCCGTACATGAGTCCATACATCACTGAACAACACGGCACAACTCCGACATGGCGGACCCTTATTTCGAAACGCAAGCGTCAGAACCAGAAATTAAGCAAGACATGAACGCCAGAAYGCATGCAAGTAAACACATATAAAACGGCTGCGACAGAGACACAGAGAGAGAGCCCTATTCCGGACCCAGAGATAGAGACAATCGCCACGAACAAAGAAACTGTTGGATGGTCCGCCATTCTGATGTTGACCGAAGTTGGCTACTGCGGGCCAAAAATACACATATGCACATCGATGCGTGTGCCGGTGGCCCGCAGTAGTCA